TGGGCTCGAGGGAACAAAGAGCCCAGTTTCAAATAGAGTTGCCATTTGGGGCTGTTGAAGAGGGTCCAATTCATAGCATCTTGTGTGCCACGGAAACCCCGCCCAGTCCTGCCTCATATTTATGACTGTTGTTACGTTTGAGTCCACGGTGTCAATGCATCCAGCGAAGGTCTTCTTTTATTTTGCCGACTCTCTAACTTTACTAAAGTAGCCCCGTGACGTGGTGGGCTGGCTCTGCACTGAGTGGCGAACCATGAGGCAAGCAATTTGAACCCACCTGCTGCTCCACAAGACAGAGATGAGGCTGTCTGCTCCGGTAAAGATTTAACCCCAGAGTGGCTGTTCTACTCTGGCCTATAGGCTTGCTCTGAGTCAGAATCTAGTGGATGGCAATGAGTTTTCTCCTTTAGTCATTGTGATGTCCTTTTCCATGGACTAGGATCTCCTGCTGCCATGCTCTAAGTACATGAGGTGGGATCTCAATACCCTTGCTTCTAAGGAACAAGAATACGAGAGGACCGTGGACTGCCAAAAGAACAAAGAAATCGGTCCTGGGAGAAGTACAGCTTAGAAGTACAGAATGCTGCTTAGAAGCGAGGGTGGAGAGACTTTGTCTGACTTTGGACATGTCGTTAGGAGAGACCAGTCCTTGGAGAAGGACATGGTGCTTGGTAAAGTAGAGGGGTGTAAAGTGTGACAATATGGATTAACACTGTGGCTGCAAGGATGGGCTCAAACATAATAACAGTTGTGAGAATGGCATAAGTCGAGGCAGCATTTCCTTCTGGTGTACTCCGAGTCACCGTGAGTTGGAACCAACTTGATGGCACCTAACAGGGAACATTCTGGCTGTATTTCTTTTGAGACAGAGCTGTTTGTTCAATTGCTTAATTTCCTTTGCTAATATCACAACTCAAATATATCAATTCTTCTCCTGTCCTCATTATTTAGTATACAGCTTTCACAAGCACACTAGGTCATTGAAAATACAATGGCTTGGGGTCAGCATCACTTTAGAAGTCAAAGTAACATTTTAGTTTATTCACACTTTAAAGAGGTCTTATGCAGCAGATTTGTCCAATGCCAATGTTGTTTAATTTCTTTCTTTTTTTGTTATTTATTTATTTATTAATCATTCTATTGGGGATTCTTACAACTCTTATCACAATCCAACCACCCATTGTGTGAATGTTGTTTGATTTCTTAACTGCTACTTTTACAATTATTGACTGTGGATTCAAGTAAAATGACTCCCTATGTATAAAATAGGGTTCAAAGACCCCAAATTTTAACTTACCATATATGCTCAAGTATAAGCCGAATATCAGCTGAGGCACCTAATTTTATCACAAAAACTGCATAAAAAATGTGCCAAACCCCCTGCTCCCCACAGAAGCATTTACTTCAGAAGACAGCACTGAAGCTACACCTCAGGGAGAGGGACATGTCTGATCAGAGCACACGGGAGCAAATGAAGGGGGAGGAAGAGAGAGTGGAGCACAGTCTGGCCCACCAAGCCTTGACAACGATATCCCTGCTCAGAGCAGCCAATGCACAGAGAGGACCATATGGCCTGCCCCACTACGAGACATGACGTCCTTCACTGGGGACAACACTGGAGACACAGTGTGGGAATTGCACCTGATCTGACCGCACCACACCAAGGCAAAACAGTAAGGGCATGCAACAGAACAGCAAGGGGAGCAGAACAAGGAAGTCCCAAGGGAATACCAAAAATAGATTTGGGGGCCAGGGCATGGCACCCCATCAGATTCGACCAGAAAACACTGCTAAAAGTCAACAAACAGACCTTGAACTATTTACAGGCTTTTCTTTTCTATTTTTGTCATTGTTTTTTTGTTGTTGTAGTTTTGTTTTCTTTTGTTGCCTTGTTTTGCTCTGCCTTGTTTTTTGTACATATTATTATCTCTGAAGGACTATCTAGATAATATAGGTGGGATAAACAATTTGGAGAAAACAGTGGGACCCACAGTTCCAGGGGGATATGGGAGAGGGGGAGGTGGGGGAAAGGAAGTGGGAGTTAACACACCCAGGGACAAGGGAACAACAAGTGATCCAAAATTGATGGTGAGGAGGGTGTAGGAGGCCTGGTAGGGCTTGATCAAGGGCAATGTAACCAAGAGGAGTTATTGAAACCCAAATGAAGGCTGAGCATGATAGTGGGACAAGAGGAAAGTAAAAGGA